AAAAAAAATGTCCACAACAAATCAACAGCTACGCCTTTCATTGGCCATTCCATTGCTGCTGGGGGTGGTAAGTATTTTGGATACCAATTTTGGTGGAATAAATAAATTTCTCTAAGTAAATCACTTGCAGCTGGCGAACTGTTGCTTAGCACTGACCGCGGCGGATTCGGCAAACAAACGCGAACAATTGTTAACCACAATGATTGAAGAGTACCTGGAGCTGACCGACTTTCAATTGCAGCATAGCAAAGCTTTGGTGCAAAAAGTGCTGGCAGATGGTGCAGTTGTGCAAATGCAGAGTGAACTCATGAACGCCGAGAGAGGTATAATGGAGAATTTCGTGCGCCAAGTAGAGGACAAGGAGCAAGAAGAGCCACCGGCAAAAAGTAATACAGCAAATCGTTTCTTTTATCTCATTGCCAAGTCGTTGATTTATCAGGAATTCGAAGGCATTCTAAGACGCCACGACACCACAAATCCAAGACGAAAGTTTGCTTCAGAAAATTATTTAATTGAGCGTTCGCTAAAGAAGCATGGTCTCGCCAATTGGCAACGCGATGTGACACAAAAGCAAACTGAATTTATGAATGAGTTTGTGAAAGAGGTGGATGCATATTTGGCGCAGCTGACACCAGCACAGCGCAACAATGAGGATTTTCAAGCGGAAAAGATGCAGAATTGGTCGGCTAAAATGAAAACCATAACGAATGTGGAGCAGCGCATGGAAACTTTCAAAGAGTTTATGAGATTCTTTGTGAAATTTTAAATTGAGCACAAAAAAACTTCACTGGTGAAGTGAAAAATCAAAAAGAGCGCTCTTTAGGTTTTTGAGTTAAGTGAAATAGTACTGGTATCGCATAAAATTTTAGACTTTTGTATACACCAGCAGATGACTGATTAACTAGGCTGATGAATTTCGAATGAACTACAATGTTTCGTAAATGAAAAATTTAATTAAACATCAATAAATTTCCAAAAGCACACATGCAACACTCAAGTTTTTAGTCCCTAAGGATGACAATTTAAATTTTTGCTTTCGAATAAGCGTGCATCAAACTGGTTGGAACACTTTATATTATTTCACTATACCACAAACTGAATTTACATTTTTAATTTTGGAGGATACATATCTATTTTAAAAAGATACTTTCTATTTCTCAAAGGACATACTGATAGGCTGGCCGTAAGTATGGAATATATACACCCCGCGACAAACGATAGCATATCAGCACTTTTACCAGCTTTGACTTCTTTTCTTTTGATTTTTTAAGGTTTATTATTTTCATATAAAAGTGTACCTTTTTATCTAACAAATACCATATGAATCTAAATTTCAGACTTTGTAAAAAAATTATAAAATTTCCACAAACTTTTCATCACAATTCCATGCATTTTAATTTTAATTTCTAGAA